CTCCTTCCCCTGGCAAGCGATTTTGGAGCTGTGGTAGCCACACTGTGGCTCTCTCTCCCTTTTCGCAGTGTCACGGATGTTATGTGGCTTGTGCCTGTGCTATGTGCCTTGTTTCCCAGTGTGGCTATAAACTCCTTCTCAGGCTGCCCAAGGCCTGAGATATTGGAGGTGCCTCTCCTGTCTCCACACATTCCTCTCACTGGCTTCCTTTCTCTGATTCTCTTGTTCTCACCCAACAGGGCCTTGCACTTTTGTGCATTGCTGGTCCCCACACCTGACTGCCTTCATCCTCCCGGGAGAGAGTTGTAGCCTCTGTGCAAATGCTGCCCGATCCTGAAGATGTAGCAGCCGAAGGCTGTCAGGCACCTGTGCCCTCCGGCAACGGTCTCCTGAAGGGAAAGGGGAACAGCCCACCTGCATGCGTGGCACCGAGAAGCCAGTGCTTTGGATCCGGAAAGATCCGACTGACTGGTCACATGACCACAGGTAACTAAATGAGGTTTTTGGATTACTTCAGTTACCTCTGGCTGACAGCTGGATTAAATGAGGTAACGGATATAAGATGGCTGCCATGGTTCAGTTCCTTAAAAAGTGAGTTAACATCCCTTTTTTGGAGTCAGTATAAAATAGGGGCGAGCAGGACAGGTCCCGGGCACAGGGCACTTGGGTTCGAATCTCATTTCTGCTGCTTGTTAGCTGTGTGGTCTTGGACGAGTTACCGTTCTTTGGAATTCAGTATTCTCCTCTGATAAACAGAAGTCATAGTAGTTCTTAATCTCATGGGGCTGTTGTGAGAATTAAATGAGATAATCCATGTAAAAGAGTCAAAACATAGTAGCTGTTGTTACCTGCCTGAATTCTGGTCAGGCTTCCCTCTTAAAGGGCCATGCATGGCAGTGGCCTGCAGAGGGCAGCATCCCCGCAGTAATCAGGCTCTCCTCTGGGCTAACGTCCTTGGGCCATTCAAGTTTAGGGCAGGCAAAAGCAAGGTATACAAAACGCAGCAGACTGACCAAATGACAGAATGTATGAGAGTGACGCGATGGCGTGGGAGAAAGGGCAGAATTAAAAAAATACGTATATTTATAGGTGGGCAGGTGCAATGAGACAGAATGGAGAAAAAGACCCAGAATTTAAATAAAAAGCCCATGAAGAACTTTAGGTGAGCATGCAGAACAACACATGTGCTCTCTTTGGGCCTGTCTTGGGGGAGCTCTGGAGTCTGGTGACCTGTCCCTAGTTTGTTTGTACAGTTTGTGCCTGGAGATCAAGACACTCTTTGAAAACACTTGGAAAGCAACTGAAAGCTCAACGATCCAGAGTTGACCACATTGGGAATGGAACATCTCTGGACTTAACCCAGGACATCCATCCAGTGTCTGGGGCCACCTCAGTTCCTAACTGGCTGGGTGACTTTAAATGACCATTGGGGCAGCTCTCTGTAGGATGAGGACAACCTTTTGAATAGTCAGGAGAAAAGGCCAGGGTGGGGGTTATCATTATTTCGTATTCCATGCCACCTCTCCAGAAGTCCTTCTTGATTTGCCTCCATGTTATCTTGCAGGACATTCTTCTAGTATCTCTAGCATCTTGGATACAGGGGGGCATTTTCCTATGCTCCAAGCATGCCAGTGACTCTCTTTGCTCCTGGTGACTAATTGTAGCATCTACTACCTGGCCTCTTAGGAGTCTCTTGGGACCATCATTAACCATCATTAAACCCAGAAATCCCCACAGCTAATTGCCATGGAGGCTTGCTTCATGTACAAAAGTACTGTTTTGTTTTATGTTGTTTGAAACCTAAGTGTTTAAATACCTGCCTCATTCTGTACATAGCATTCTGCAATTTGCCCTTTTTTGCGTAACCCTGTACCTTAGAGAATTTCCCATACCGCACTTAGAAATTGACCTTGTTCTTTATAATGACTTGACGGTAATCCATTGCGTGGATATGCCAGAATTATTTTAAGAAGTCTAGTGTCGATGGACATTTAGATTCTTTTCAGTTTCCCTCTTTCAAAAGCAGTGCTGCTCGAGTGTTCTGTGTGTGTCTTGTCGTCCATATCTGCAAGTTCTCCGCTAGGATGGATGCCAAAAAATGGAATTGCCAGATTACAGGGGGCGAGTGTTTAAAATTTTGACAGATACTGCTGAGTTGCCTCCAAAGGCCATGCCTATTTACATTCCTGTCTCTAACACGTTTTTTATTATAGCCCACATAAGACAGGTAGGTTCTAAGTCAAACACGGATGGACTTGAGTGGAAGTAAAGCCTGGTGGTCAAGTGCCAGATACTGCATTCGAATCTTAATTCTACCTCACAAAATTTATGTGAATTTGGCAAGTCACTTAACCTCTTACGATCTGGTTTCTCCAGGGTAAATGGGACTATAAATTGTACCTAAATCATGGGTGGTTGTGACCATGAAATGAGTTAATGTATGTAAATCACTGAATCTTGTTACACTGAATCTTGAGCCATTTCCAGTGTTCTCCACTCTTTTGCTTCATGCCTGTCTTTCTGGTGTGTCTTTGTCTTTTCACGTTTGTCACGTTGTAGTCAGTTACAAACCCAGTTTGTGTTCCCCCAGCAGCTCCTTTTAGCAAGCTGAAGTGAAGAAGTGACTTCAGATCTTGGGTTGGTTATTAATAAACCTGTAAACTTGTACAACTTAGCTGATCTTTTGGAGCCTTGTTTACCTCAGCTAGAAAATAGGGATCATTTCTGCATCAGGTCGGAATCCTTCTGTTGCAAAGGTGAGGGAATTCATCCCAAACAGAATTTAGTGGCTCACAGTAAGTGGAAAGGCTGCAGATTCCCCTTTTAGGCATATTTCTATTAGTGACTAAAAGGCCATCCCAGGACCCGATTTCTTTTGCCCCCTTTTGATTCTCCAGTTTTGACTCCATCCTCAGACTTCAGGCGGTAGCGAGCTGCCTGTAGGTGGTCCATACCTTACACACCTCGGCTTTGTCGTCCCAAGGAAAGCCTGTCCGCCTCTGTCCCAGCATTCCCCGCAGCCTCACTGGGTCTCTCTGAAGCTGATTGGGTCTTGCACCTGTGCCTGAACCAATCACTAAGTGTAAGGGAGTGAGAGGCGCTGATTGGCTTAGGCTAGATCACATGATCCACACTTGCGGAAACGGAGCTGCCCTGGATGCCTTCGACTGAACGTGGGAGGAGCACACCCCATAGTGGAGCTGTTGTGTGTTGTTAGAGAAAGAGAAAATAGATGTTGGGAGGCAAACGACAAATGTTTGCGCTCATATCTCTTCTCCAACAAGTTTGTTGTGTGGGTGGTTAGGTGTAACGATGACTGGCGCAACTCCTGGCAAAGTGACACCTGCTGTACAATTAATGTCTGTATTCTGTCCATGTCTTCTGTCTGGTGATACTTTGGGTATTCCTGCTTTCTCTTAACGTTCTATTCTTTTGAGATTTTGTTCACTTTGCAGCAATCCCCCAATTTATATTTTTATCCCCAGCCTTAAACTCTCCACAGTTTTAATCCTGTATCTCTAGTTGACTTTTTATAAAAATTTATTTATTTACTTTGAGAGAGAGAGAGAGCACACACATATGGGCAGGGGAGGGGCCGAGAGAGAGAGAGAGAGACGATCCCAAGCAAGCTGGGTATCATCAGCACAGAGCCTGATGTGGGGCTTGAACTCATAAACGGTGAGATCAAATCAAGATTGGGATCCTTAAGTGACTGAGCCACCCAGGCCTCCCTCCAGTTGACTTTTGATCATTTTCACTTGGTTATCTCACTGCAGCATACAGTTAACACTCAACCCATCTTCTTGATCCTTAAATCAGATCCCCATTCCCATTTCTGCTCTTGGATTCCATACATGCATTAGGTAGGTACTGAAACTGCTTTGATTTTTGTTCCTTTCCGTGTTTGCTTGATGTCTGGGTCATTAAAACAACCTCTTCTGCTATGTGCTTGCTCACCCCTCTTGTGAATCCCGGGTCACTGAAGATGAAGTGATACACAACTGCCTGGTATCATTATTTGGTTTAAAGTCTTATAAACTGCCTGAACTTGAGTAAATAAACTTTTGAAGCCTCAGTTTCCTCACCTGTAAAATCTATTTTGCTTTTTTCCAGTGTCTTTTTGACTTAAATCACATGTTTCTTTGATAATGGATCTAACTTTTAGGGCAGTGTATGGGCAGTCAGGTTTGTAGGTATGTCTACTGGCTTGACTACCCTATATGATCTTTCCTATCCCATTTTATTCTAGTTTATGATTCACTTCACCTTTATTATTTTTTTTTTCCTTCGGCAGCAGATATTTTTGATTTAGAGAGTGTTGGCCAACCCTATAGAAATGCTACTTTCACACCTGTGGAATATCATGTTGCCTGACATTCACTTCTGTAGCACTTCTAATCCTCTCCGGCTCTGGGATATGTAATTATATACACCCCTTCCCAGCTCTGGCTGCTGCAGTCCCACTGCTGGATTGCTTGTCTGTTTCCTCTTCACCTTCCAGTGACCCCTGAAAGGGTTGTACCTGGGAGGTGGGTTTCTCCAGGCAGAGGCAGATGCACTAGACGCAAATACAGGCTCATCTATAGGAACCAGTGGGTGTGTGGTGAGTTACTTGTGGGGCTGGACTTGACTGTGAGTGGCTAAGCAACGCTACGTGAGGTGAAGTGCTGTCTGGCAGCAGAGACACAGGGAGAGCACCTGGTTGTACGTGCATTACACCTGCACCGTCCAATATGATAGTCATTAGCCACAGCCACATGTGGCGATTTAAATTAAAATTAATTAAAAATAGTTATGGGCGCCTGGGTGGCTCAGTCAGTTAAGCGTCCAATTCTTGGTTTCAGCTCAGGTCATGATCTCATGGTTCATGGGTTCTAGCCCTGCGTTGAGCTCTGCACTGATGGTAGGGAGCCTGCTTGGGATTTTCTCTCTCCTTCTCTCTCTGCCCCACCCCTGCTCATGCTCTCTCTCTGTCAAAATAAATAAAGAAACAATGAAAAAATGGTTGTAAATTTCTATTCCTTAGTCACACTTACCACATTTCAACTTCTCAATAGCCACTCGTGGCCACTGGCTTCCATTTTGGGCAGCACAGATCTAGAACAGTTCCATCACCCCAGAAAATTCTGTTGAGTGGTCCTGTTCTGAAGTGTGGCAACAGGAGTGGGCATGCTGGGATCTCAGTCAAGGTTGTCAGGAGGAAAAGTAGAACCCTGCCCCCTTGGCTGATAGGATGTGGACTGAAGAAACTGGCTTGGTTTCAGACGTGGCCCTGGACCTGGTAGTGTACAGCATCCAAGGAGCTTACAAATCCAAGTGACTCTCCAAGGCTCTGCAGGGAGGGTGGTCTAAGTGCAGTCTTGAGGGATACAGGCAGATGGGAGCTCCCCCCTCCCCCACCTCAGGAGACATGCCCTGTGCTGAGCACTTGACATAGATGATTTCATTCAACCTTAGGAGGAGATAGTATTACCTCCATTTCATAGATAAGGAAACTGGGCCACATAGAAGAGAGCCTGTGTATAAGCGCTTCTGTACTGCTCCATGCTGCCTCCAAGTCAGGCAGGAGAGACCTGAGCTCTGGGGGAGCAGGGGGCTGAGCTCTTGGCAGGAAGCCGGCTAGGATCAAGCAAGCTCAGATTGGGGTTGGGGCCAGCCCTCCTGCTGTCCAAGAGAATAAGGCAGAGAAGAGGAGGCAGGGCAAAGTTATGGCACAGGACAGACCTAACTTTGGGGGTGGTGGTGTTCATGGCTTGGGGTGCATGAAGACGCTGTAGTAATGTCTTGTGTAGATCGAGAAAAGGACTGCTCGTCCTCCAGGGCTAGGACTGGGTCGCAGCGCTGGCATGACCATGGACTCTGAGCGTCACACGGCCCTTCTGTAAATCCCACTTCTGCCGTTTATTTCTTTGCTGCAGCTGAGGTCGCCTCCCTGAATTTCAGCCTCCTCATCTGTAAAATGAATACGATAAGATGACATTTATTAGTATCATCATTATCCTTGTAGCCTCAGGTATGAATACCATACTTAGCATAACCTCAGTAAAAAATGGAATAAAATTGAATCTGGTGATGAGGGCTGGAGAATGTAAGGGCTGAAAGAAGAGTCCACTTGGATGGGAAGAAAGAGGCCTACTCAAGTCTACACTAGGGCAATAATTACAGGAAATTACAAAATCATTTCCTTCTGGCCCAACAAAGGCATTTGTTTCCTTTTGCTACTGGGAGTCTCAGAGATTTGTTCATCCATTGTAAAAATACCCGTTCGGTGCCACCATTTTGTGACCATTGGCTTTATCAACATTATGATCTATGTTTACCTGGTGAATTCCTTGGCTCAAGTTAGAAATTACCAAATTATCATTGTCCTCTAAGTGGGGATAAAATGCTGTACCTCTATGCACAGAGTGGTTTAAAACCATTTGGCTTAATTTAGTTAAGCAATAAATTATTTTGAAAGTATTCAGTTTCCAAATATTAAAGCCAAATTTCAAATTAGTTTGTCTGTGTAGTCCTAAGAATTGGTGCATGGAGGCTTCCCCAGACCCATATTCTGGCTGCCTGGTGATGCTGGTGGGCTTCTGGCTTATCCTATGTATATATCTTGGGGTTAAACTCGAGATCAGAACTATTGTGATCAAGGTCTCCAGCATTAACAACATTGTCAACAAATATAATTGTATGCCTGTCATGGATATGGATGCTAGCAACTTACCTACCAATACCACCTACCCAATACATAGGTGTAACCCTAACCCAGTTCCCAGGCTAAATACCAACTGCTTCCAGCAAACCCATGTCAGGGAGTTTAGTTATTAAATCACACAGCCTGATAAACTGAGCATTTGACCTCGCAAAAGGTGAGGATCCTTGCAATGAGTCCCTCAGTTGAGCTCTCCAGGCATAAAGCTAAAGACAGAAAATATAGATCCTGGATCTGCTGTCTGGTGTGTGTTTGTGTGTACATGTGTGTGTGAGATGTATGTGTGCATGCATGCATGTGCATTAGCAAGGGAGAGATGCACCTGTCTCAGGACTCAGGCTTGGAGTCTAACTGAGTTGCAGTTCACACAGTCCTTTTACCCTATGACTGTGTAGATAACCTTTCATGAAGAAACTGAAGAATTTAACACCAAAGGTGTTCAACTTCTTAAATATTTTCCAAATAACTTGAAAACCAAGTTTTAGTTTTCTCTCTGCCTGAAAGGATCATCTCCGTTAAGGTTTTGGGGAAAGAAGAGAGGGTGAAATTGGGCTAGGCTGTCCCTTATCTGCTCTGGAATTGTCTACTAGTAACTGTATTCTTCTGCTGATTCCAGTCATGCTGGTCCCTGCCTGAGCAACAGGGTCCAGAGCCCTAGCGAGGATGCTGCTGTGTTCTTGCAATGGCAGCTGAAGGGCGAAAGTGGGCAGGCCATGTATCCTATCCCTGTCTTCTGCTTTATTTTATAGAAGCCTGACCATTCAAAGCTCTATCTGAGCATCAGACTGCAGTGCAGGACTGAGGGAAACTAAGAAGAAAATTCTTGAAATTGTGTGCTGATTTTAATGTTCCTGTCCTAAGGAAAAGTCCCCCAGGGAGTTCAAACTCTTTACATGCTGTTGATCTCTTGTGGGCATCCCTATTTCCTAACATCAATCCTTTGTCCCAGGTCAGGGCCTCTCTGTGAGTACCTTCTTCCTCTGCTGTGTGCTCTCTGTTCGACTTTCAGAAAACCTCTTTCTACCCATGGCATTGATCTGTCCTCTCCAAATGAGTCATTTCCTAAGTCTGACTTATTGAGATAAATTGGCCTGAAGTGTTGCTGCTGTGGTCAATCCACAGTTGTCCTTTGCTATTGTGTTTTTGGTACAGTCTGGGTAAGAGTGGGGTTGTAGGGTTGGCTGAGTCTGAATACTCTAAGCCTCATGGTGAAGTCCTTGATGAACCCTGGGCACCTGAAGGGAAGTATTGTTGGAAGTGAGTTGTAGCCTTGAGTCTTTCCTCCCGCTGACTGGCCAGCTACTAATTGTTGGGACCTCCTTCTGCCTCCAAACACTATATACAGATCCAAACACACACACACACACACACACACACACACACACACACACACACACACCCTTCCCAAGGACCAATGTGGATTCTCAACAATAGTATAGTCAAAACACACATGATTGCAAAACATCTCTCTCAAGATGGCATTCCTGTCTACCTCCCTCAACTTGCTTTCAAATCATGCCACCTCCAGCTTACTGGGAATATGAAATATGCCTATCCCTGAATTGCACAAAGATCCAGGAAACTTTGGGCCCACTTATCTTCTTAGGGGCTATTTTCCAATCCTCTCTTTATGGAAAGAAAATCTGACTGGGTTCATTTCTCCAGCTACATGATTGTGTCCATTCACCACCACAAAGATCTGGTTTTTAAAGAATCCCAATTCTAGTCTTATTAGAAATGCAGTTAGGTGTTTTGAGTTCATATTCAGCCATTACTAACTTGACATAATTCTCCAAATTACCCCAATGTATTAAAACTGTTACTGCACTTACCAACAAAATAGTCCAGCTGAGTGTTAAATAACATCACCGGCACCAACAGTACTTTCACATAGATTATGATCTCATTTGATCCTTATAACAATCCTGGGAGGTGGCCAGACCATGTACTTTCATTCTCTTTTTATAGATGAAAAACTGATGTTCAGAGGAATGGACTCTTCAGATCTCTTCGCTAGTAAAGTGACAATTTAATGGCAAATAACTGATCGAATACTTTTGCAACTATCCCAAGAAGCATTCTCTGTTTAACCTAGAGCAATGACCTTCCATTTCTTCATAAAGCAAACAGAAATGATTTTGCAGATGAGCTTAGGGAAGATTTAAAATGCAAAAAGTGTTGTGGTGGAATTTGGCTTTTATTTTTTGCCCCGTAAGGACCCCCACCCCCCACTGTTCATATTGTAAGAGAGAAAGAGAGAAAGAGAGCGAGTTCAGCTGGCTGATCTGTGAGCTGTTGAAGCTTTTGCTTAAAAAGGAAATCTGATCTCTGTCTAAGTGGCACTAATGTGTGGGCTGAGAGCTGCTACTGTAAATTCAGCAAGGGATTCATTAATGCCAGGAGCCTCTTAGAGTGCTGTGGATGGGTGACCTCTGAAATAAAAGCATAACCAGCAAAGATAAGGCTTCATGCATGATCTACAGGGCTCTGTTTCTGGTGATCTTCAAGATATCTTAAGCCAGGAGTATTTAGGACCAGAAAGCCAGGAGTTTGGTGGGGAGGGGAAGACCACCCAAAAAGATTAGATGATACCACACAATAGATTCTTGGCTTTTTGAAATTCTTTGGCAAATCTCTCTCCCCCCACTCCCACCCCCCCCAACTCTTCCCTTTGCTGGGAATAGTTTTTGCACTTTTCTCTTTGGTGGGAAAAATAAGCTACTGTTTTTGAAATGACTAGGATGCCGTCAGTAAGGCTCACGAGCTCTTGATGGTAGATGAGCTGGAAAATACATCAGAAGCCTGCTGGGAACCTCAGTTGTTGGGGGGTGTCACACAGCTTTGTAGGATTCTGATTTTGACATGAGGTATGGGGTTGGGGTGTTAGGCGGCAATGGCTCTTCTAAGACTAGCTTTTGAGAGCTTCCTCTTATGATCCCGGAGCTCTCCTGACCACGGGGCATAACTGTTTTTTGTTTTTTTTTTTTTTTTGCTTTGTTTTGTTTTTAATGTTTGTTTACTTATTTTGAGAGAGAAAGAGATGGGAGAGAATGTGAGTAGGGGAGGGGCAGAGAGAGAGTGAGAGAGAGAGAACCCCAAGCAGGCTCTGAGCTGTCAGCACAGAGCCCAATGTGAGGCTTGAACTCACGAACGGTGAGATCATGACCTGAGCTGAAAACCATGAGCCAGATGCGTAAGTGACCAAGCCACCCAGGCGCCCCAGGGCACAACTGTTTTCATTGCAAATCAGTACTCTGGATTTGGATTTCAAATAAGCTATTTAAAAAATTAGGCCCCCCTTCCCCAAAACTACTGTATAGGTTTTCTCAGGCTGCTATAACAAAATACCGTAGGCTGGTGGCTTAAACAACAGAAATTTCGTTTCTTACCGTTCTGGAGGCTGGAAGTCCAAGTTGGAAGAGCCAACAGGGTTGGTGTCTGGTGAGACCTATTTCCCTGGCTTGATGGCCCATTTTCTTGTTGTGTCCTAACATGGCTCCTTCTTTGGGCAGAGAGAGAGAGAAAAAGGGAGAGAGCGAGAGCGAGATATCTATGGGGCTTCTTCCTCTTCTTTTAAGGACAGCAGTCCTGTTGGATTAGGTGCTCACCTTTATAACCTAATTTCACCTTAATTATCTCCCTAAAGGCCCTATCTCCAAATAGAGTCACATTGGGGTTTAGGGGTTCAACATATGAATTTAGGGGGACACAGTTTTTAGTCCACAATAAGTACAAAAGGATATACACATATTGTAAACCATTGAACAATGTTGAACCATAACAAGAAAATGTCAACTGTCTTCTCTCATTTTTGCCCGACCAGCCAGGTGACCAGTTGGTATGTATTTCTCACATCTTTCCCTTCCTGGTGCAAACACATGGCACACTGTATTTTTGTTTTTTTTACAGCAGTGATGTTACATTGTATTTACTACTTTGCAACTGCTTTCTATTTGACTAACATTAAACTGATTTTTAAAAATCCTGTCGAAATTTCCCCTGGGCGTCTATGACTATTGAACAAGTGTTCCCAGCTGGAGTTTGGGACTTATAAAAGTCTGTGGATAGAATTCACGAGGTCTGTGAACATGACTGGGAAGAAAAAATGCATCTTGATTATCACTCACCTCTCACTGAAATTTAGTGCATCTTTTAATTAGGAATATAGACAACAAAGCATAGTTATATTTTCAAGAACCTCAGGTATTTTTATATCACATCACGGTTTTGCAGATATCTCAGAATATCCTATATGCTTTATATTAAAATAATTACCGGATATACTACTGGATTGTAGTAGATCTAATGGTTTATCTAGTGGGTTATTTAATGGGTTACTAAAGATGCACTTACATTACTCCATTGCAAAATTTTAAATACAATCTTTTTGAAGACGTTTCAATACAATTGTTTTAAAGAAATTATCCAAAGTTATTATTTTTTTCCAAACATTTAAAAACAGGATTTTGAGAAGAGACCCATAGACCTTACCAGTTGTTGAAGGAATCCATGGCACAAAAACAGTTAAGAACCCTTGCTATAGAGATATGACAGACTGAGGATGTAATATTTTACTTGGAAGCCAAAAGAGATGTGGAATGTGGAACAAAACGAAGTTTTTAATACCCAGCCAGTTTGAGAGGTTGATAAAGGATAAGAACACATCACATGATGGGAGCACTGATTAGACCTGTCCCTGCAATGTACACAGTGATTTGTGTCCACTCATTCCTTTGAGTTTTATATAAATAATGAGAATTCCAACTGCCATTGGTGAGTATCTACTGTTAAAGATGATTTTCAAAGAAGGTAAAATCATGACTCTCATGTAGATATGAAATAATGCATGAAAAAGATTTTATTTAACTCACAAATTAATAAGAGTGACAGAAGCAATGGGAGAACTGAGACCTTCTACCCTTATAATTACATTGGACACTGAAAACCAAAGCCACAGGTCACTGTCTGCATTAACATGACTTTGTGTTATTTTCCTGCCTTCATTAGCATGATCTATTCCCCCAGGAGTCTGTTGCCCAAGCAAATGGTTTGATTCATTGCACGAACTTCCTTAAAAAACCATCCTAAGATTCTTTGAATTCCTTGTATTTAAATTCTCATGTTGCTGCTTCTACCAATCCTGGACTGTTGTTTCATGATCCTTACTCAGTCCTAACCAACACTTTGAAAGATCTGTCTTAAATCAAACTTTCAAATCTCAATAAATTCTGACATCACATTTTCTTCTCCACGACACCGCTAAACTTTGTGACATGGCAGTCCCTCTTAGTGCAGTAATTGCAAGCTCAACTTTGACATATCAAGAAGTTGTGTTGGTGATATATGGGGAGACAGCTTTCGACAGATTTGGAGGTCTCACTGAGATCCAGTTGGGACCAAGATCTCACCATCATGGCCAATGCCCTGGAATGGGAAACAGAATGTCCCTCTGAGGTCCTTTGAGCCTTCTGTTTGGAGACTTTCTGACTGTGATGACGGGGTAGGCAAATAGACCTCGCATTGGTTAGAAACTTTTATCTCTTTCATTCAACTCTGAGATGCTGAGTTTATTTCTTCTCCTAGGATTAAGAAACCGTCCTTAGGTGCCAATATTTGAAAAAGCACATATATTTTTTTTGGTGGAAATCTGTCTGTCTCTCTGTTCTTGTCATTTTTGTTGTGCATCAGTAAGAGGAAACCCATCAGGAAGAGGATTGGTGCAGGCCCTGAAGTTAAGCTCTTTCCTCAAGCTGGTCCTGGGGACTGAGAAGTTTAGTTCAAATGAGGAGCAAACTTCCAACTGCCCCCATTTCTCAACTGGCATCAAGAAGCATTCCAAGACATTCAGATTCAAAAATCTCTTCCTTTCTTTTGGCCAAAGCAAAAGAAAAACTGAAAGCTGTCTCTCTTTCAGATCCTCTTGAATCACAGTGTGAACCTTCCCCAGTTCTATACTCTGACATCTCTCTCAGCTGCTGGCCTCCCTCTGATTTGCTCCTCTTCCCCACTGGTCTACCACAACCTCTTAAACTTCAATGGTCTCTTGAAGTTAAGCCTCCCCAGAACAGGCAAAATCCCTTTCTGTTGATTTCAAGCCCTGGTCTCAAGTCTGAGCTGAGAGCCCAGTCAGGATAGGAGAAATTTGCAGAAGAACTTAGAATAAGTTTATGAATATGTAATGCAGGACTCACTGGTCTATCTATATCAATGAGTGTTAGTGGGAGTCTCAGATGCTGAGAAATGGATGGAGAAAGCGGGATTGGAAGCTCTCAATAATGATTTAAAGGACCCTGAATTTCATAGGGCATCAGAGAGGTTCAGAAAAACTCTACGTGCTGGATAAGGTCTTTTGGAGTCTATCCCACAAATCTTCCCTATGCAAGTGGATCAGATGCTAATCTAGTCTCAAGTAGAGAAAGGATGAGGATTGTGGAGAACCCAGGGATAGGCCTGTTCCACCTTTAGGCAGTATTCAGCAGAAAATCTAGAAGCAGATGTGATCCCCCACTCCTTCCTCATTTTTTATAAATTGGTATTCAGCCAGAAATTGAGTAGCAAATACATAAGCATGGTCTAGAAAGGAAATAACCCTATGCCAGAACCCCAACACTTGTGGAGGACTTTGAAAATAGTGTAGAATGAAAACAAAGTAGAAACTGGAATACATTTATAGCCTTACAGATAAAATATCTAGATGCTCCCATCTCAGTCATTCAGCTCCAATGGAAGGAGTCTCTTGATAAAGATAGTTATAGATATTGTAAACAGAAACAACTCTGGGAAAAGAATTGCCATGTCTCTGGTAAGAAAACAGAGAAAATATGTAACAGATGAGATGACTGACTGATGAGGGGCTCAGAAGGATCTGCTGAACAGAAATTTCTCTAAAGATTAAATGAGCTCTTCTGATTGCTTTACATCAAATAAGCGCTGTATCAATGGAATATTAAAAAAATCCCAGAAATTAAGGAAATCGAACTGATAACTTTCAAAATGTTAAACAGAGTAGTCTTATGGAAATTTAACTCAAAAGTGGTTTAAGAGGCCAAGTTCAAATATATTAAGTCAGCTTTTGGAAATGAAATGAGTTTATTATTTTTGGCTTAATGCAAATAATTGTCTTCCCTGATTTACCATGGTAAACATAATAGGAGTTTATGATTTTATTCTACTTGGGTATGTTCTTAAATTTATACAGGGTTTATTGTACTAATCAAATAAACTAGCATTATTTCTACTAATGCTTATAGTTATGAAAAATAAAAATTTGTGTTGATTTATTCTGAAAATTTAATTTCAACAGAGATTATAGTTTGTAATACATCAGCTGGAAGATTCATTTTCAAGAACTTTAGTACTGATATTAAATTGAGTTAATTAATGGGTATTCATTGAATGGCTAGATCCTTTCTTTCTTTCTTTCTTTCTTTCTTTCTTTCTTTCTTTCTTTCTTTCTTTCTTTCAAATTTAAATCCAAGTTATTTACCATATAGTGTAATAATGATTTCAGGAATAGAAGTCAGTGATTCGTCACTTACATATAACACCCAGTGCTCATCCCAACAAATGCCTTCCTTAATGCCCATCACCCATTTAGCCCATGCCCCCACCCAACACTCCACCAAGAACCCTCAGTTCTCTGTATTTAGAGTCTCTTATTGTTTGTCTCCCTCTCTGTTTTTATCTTATTTTTGCTTCCCTTCCTCTATGTTCATCTGTTTTTTCTCTAAAATTCTGCATGCGAGTGAAATCATACGATATTTGTCTTTCTCTGACTGACTTACTTTGCTTAGCATAATATACTCTAGTTCCATCCGTGTTGTTGCAAATGGCAAGACTTCACTCTTTTTGATTGCTGAATAATATTCCATTGCATATATAGGCCACATCTTCTTTATCCATTAATTATCTGATAGACATTTAGGCTCTTTCCATACTTTAGCTATTGTTGATAGCGCTTCTATAAACATTGGGATGCATGTGCCCCTTTGAATTAGCATTTTTGTATCCTAGATCATATATCTAAGTAAGAAAGAACAGTGAAACTGATTACTAAGCATAATTTCAAATTTATATACTTTTGCTTCTTATTTTTATATACTATCTTTGGGCCTGTTCATTAATGTGCTCATTTTTGCCATGTTGAGAAGTTGTATGAGGGATATGTGTGGCTGTAGAAAGTCGTGTTGTGTGTATTCATGGGCTCTTCTGGTCTGCTAAAATGCTGATTTGGGGTTATCAGCAATTATCCACAGTCCTCTTTCTGCTCTCACCAGTTTTCTCTGTGAAATAGAAATTTCTTTGATTAAAAGTTGTAATTAAATATACCTGATGTGTCCTTACTGCAGCACTCTTGGCAGAGAGGTCCACATCTGTATGCAAGATAATGAGGTGTGATTTTGTTAAGGGAAAAAGGATATAATCTGTGCAAATGAGTCTGAAAAGCTTTAAGATATGTTAAAATCCTGACAAAATTTGCTCAATTTTCTTCCTTGTTTTACTGTTTATTGCTTTTACTTACAATATAAAGGCTTATTTATTTATTGGCCCATTGGCTTGTCCTTTAGGAGAAAGAGATCAGTAGATCTCTCTCTACTCCAGGGGAATTCTGAATTTGACTTGCCTTAGGCCTCTTCATTTCATGCTTCATGAGAAGCTTGGAAAGTTGGGGGAAATCCTGCATGCTGTGGTTGAGAGAACTGCAGACAATTTAGACAATGCCACTAATGCCACTTAAAGGGTTCAGAATATGCTACCCCAAAATATGCCACTTTGGCACAAGAATAATTTTGAGCTGAAGGCAATTGAGAAATAGCAGACACAGGAAGAACTCTCTGCCCTTTCTCATTCTGCCTAAAAGCAGTGCATATATTTCTTGTTGTGAAGGGGACACAAATTTTCATTTGTGAAAGTGTTCCTTCTTCCGTGCCAAGAAGAGGAGACTGACTCTTATCTGCATACCTTACTAAGGAAGTCTTATTTACCATGCATTTCTTAGTTACATTTTCACAACTTACCACTCTCTAGAGCCCAAACCCCCTTCCCTTTGTTCTGTCACTTCTCCATAATCTATCACCTTTTGTTAAGAGGATATATAAGCTCCCAGGTCTAACCACTTTTTTGAGGTCTTCATTTCTTTTCTATGATAGCATTTTTTTGAGGTCTTCATTTTCTTTTCTATGAAGACCTCCATGCATGGAAAAATAGACATATTAACATCAAATCACATTGTATGCTTTTTCTCTTCTTAATTTGTCTTTTGTCAGTTTAATGAGCAGGCCCCAGATGCTAAACCTGAGAGAGTAGAAAAAAAGGGTTTGTTTCACCTACATCATAGATCTCATCCAGAGGATTATGAAAGTGGACACGTGGTTGTTCAAAACAAAGCTAACTCGAGGAGGGATATCTTCTGTTTTAGAGGAAGAATATCATACTTAGATCTCTGCAGACTTCTCTTAGATCTTTAATGTTACTACAGAAAATCTTGGAAATAAATAAAGAAGTCAGATCATTAGGTAATTTGGAGGTAATTCTTCCAGGAGTTTGCTGCCCAGCCAAATAGTGTGATTGTCCATTCCCAGAGCTTCCTAGAGAATCTTTGAATCTTTTGCCTTGAGGTCCTCACCTTTCTGTGCCCACCAATCCTGGACTTTTGTACCACAATCTTTACCCAATACTAATCAAACCCGTGCTTTGAAAAGCTGCTTTACATAAAACTCCAATTCTTAATAAATGCTGACTTTTCCCCTCCTTCCCCAGAGACACGGCCACAGATTTGCCAGGTGGTATTCTCCTTTATTGCAGCAAGCAATAAACTCAACTTTGTCTTATCAAGAGATTGTGTGTGAAATATGGGGAGGCAGCTTCTGATGGATGTTACAATTGCTTTAAAGGCAAAGTCAAAATGCAGACACTTTTACAGATTAGAAATAATGAAATGAATTTGCAAATGACCGCAAAACTGTCTTTTTAAAGGGAAGGGCTGGTTATCCCTCCACCAGACAGAATTTATTTGCATGTCTATAGACAAAAATTACTTGCATTGCTATCAGTTATGTACAATTTACAGAGCCATTAAAAAAAAAAAAAAAGAACTCAAAGGCAATGAAAGCTGCAGAGCCCTCATAGAATCAGAATCAGATGACCCGGAAGGATGTGCTGTAGACAATGCACAGTGCTCTACTAAAGCACAAATTCTTCCCTAACCTACTAGGTGCCAGGTATCTAGTGAGGTTCTAGGACATTTCCCAGACATTATTGTGTTTCATCTTTACTACACCCTACAAAATCGAATATTACAGTTTCCTCTTTTCTACTGAGGAAACTAAGGCTCAGTGGAGTTTTTCAAAAACCACAAAAATGCTCAAATAACATGTGCAATAGATATTTGGTTAGTGAAAACGTCATATGCAGAGAGGAAATCTTGCACAAATCTTTGAATGATGGAGAGAGAGAGAGAGGGATTCCTGAGTATCCTATGAGATGCTGGGTACTATCCAGTTCTCGAACTTGAGTCCCTTAATTTTATAGTGGTCTGCACCTTTCATTGTCTTTGAGCTATTTCATAACTCTGTGAGTTGAAAAAAACCTCATAGTAATGTCAATGATTCTTGTCCACATTCAGCGCAAATGAATGTTTGGCAGAGGAAGCCACCACTGCATCTATTAGCAAATGCATTTCAGCATTTCTGAAATGTAGTCAGCACTTCTGATTGCCTACATATGTGTCTGCTCTTTGACTTCTCCTTTGAACCAGCGTAAGAACTTAGGCTTCCCTCATTAAATGATGAATAACATAGAATCTTTGACATGGGTTCATTTTATATATGTGTGAGAGTCATGATTTTTATCTCTTCAAAAATTCCTGTTAGCAGTTTGAAATGAGTTTAGCCTTTCATTAGTTGGCTTTGGGGGTACTTACTGTTTCAGGCCATGGAGATGATTAGCGGCTCATCTGAGGCTCTCCTTGCTCTGAAATTATTCGATTTTATGACTACATACCTGGCATTCCTAGAGTTGCATGTTAAGCCTTCTGTTGTTTTCTTTCTAGAGCTATCTGATAGCACAGGCTGTCCGTTAAATACAGTCTGAGCAATTAGGCCTAGCTAATGTCTTCCTGACTAGGATGCCAGGACAAATATCTAATGGTAGCAAGTGAGTGAAAATAAATAGGGGCCAATTAATAAGGACTAATTTGGTGTTACAATGGAAACAGGGGCAACTGAATGCATTCTAATTCCAGTAAATGTGAGTTCACTCCAAGGATGTTAGAATTTCAGATACATTTAACTGTTTGAGTCCTTGGAAACTTTTGCAGACATCACTAGAACCTTGGGTTGTAAAGTTGTCTGGATTTTCACATGTCACCTTTGTTAACTTGTTTGTGAACTTTGTAAACTTGTAAACTCCTGCTATGGTGTCCTGAGATGTGCATCATTCATTACTCAGAATAATGTATGAAAATTGGAGTTCTCAGCTTCCAAGCATGTGTTCAGAAGAAAGAGTTTTAGTCATGGCCCTCTTTGCTATAAGTGACAGAAAACCCAATTCAAGCTACTTTAAGCAAAAAACAAAAAACAAAAAAACAAGAAAACCCTCACCCCCCAACAAGCAAACAACCCCCCCCCCCCAAAAAAAAACCACCTTAAAGACCGAAAAACCCCAAATACACTGTTGGGTCACATGGCAAAAGTCCTGGTGCAAGGTGAGTTCAGGTACAGTTAGATAGATCTAGGGGTCCAAAAATGTTACCAAAACCTGGTCTTTCTCCTTCTTTTGGTTCTTCTTCCTCTGGGTTCACTTCAACTGTCAGAAACCCTTCCTTCTGATGGCCTCAGACCATTCCTGTCTTACAACTTCACTTCCCCAAAACCAATGGAAAAGAGTCCAGCTCTCAGTAGTTCTTTCTTGGTTGTTCAAACCAAAGTGTCAGGATGATCACTGATTGGACCGATTGCCACAGCTTGGGTCATACGCCCATCTCTGAACCAATGAGCATGCCTAAGAGGGTGTGATGTTTTGATTGGCTAGGTTGGGGTCACATGTCCAGTGTTGTAGCCACCAGTGGACACCCACCTCCGTATTCCAGGGGAGCACAAAGAGTGAGAGTGGAGTAGGAGAGACATCCTAGAGGAAAGTCAGGGAATTTGGCTACTGGGAGCCCAAAACACCAACACAGGAATATTATTACATGTTGACTGATGTCCTCAGGTTAAAATGCTTGTCAAGTGGCAATACTTCTCGTGGGCTCTGACTGTGGAACAGCTATGTTAACTGGTATCTAAAATATCCAGTCATTCTACCAATAAACACTTATTGAACATTTACTCTATTTACTGGCTCTAAACTAGATGTTGGGGTTACAGAAATAAAAATAGTCATTGCTGGCCGGGAGAGTGTAACATTATTGTTATTTTATCATCAGGGTCCTTGGTCATTACACATCTGCTGAGAGTATAATTTGGAGGAAAATCTGCTGATGGGAGTCTCTGGAGAACTTGATGGAGATGATGGGTGTTTAAAGCTCTTGTATACAATCTATTCATATCCCATATTTGCATTTGCCTTGTATTTTCAAATTTCCCTCTCACTTAGTATGTCTCTACTGTCTCTTGACCATTAGTAAGTCACAGGTAGTCCATTAGGAGATTGTTGCAGAGAAATACTTCAGAGAGTTATTTCTGATCTGTACATTGTGACACACACCGTCTGTTTATGTGGTAAACAGCGAGCTGCTATGACATCATCTGTGGTGCAACATCATAGTGGAGGCTACCAGCCATCCACTCTGTTGTCAGATGGATGGATCACTCTGTTGTCATTCACTTCACAGATTTTTCTCAATGTATTTATCATACCATCAAAAAAATGGATGGTCATAAAAATTTTATGAGAAAAAATTCCAGGTTTGTGTGATTTTGGCATTGAATAAGGAATTGCTTTGGTAAGGTAGGGGTCATGAGTGGTAAACTCAAGACTGACGGCAGTAAAGTGTAGGGATGAGAACACGGGGCCATGCAGTTCTCCAACAGAGCACTGCACACTGGTTTGGTGGTTGAGGAAGGCTTCTTGTAGAAACTGGAGGTAATGTTTGAAGGATGAAGGGGAATGAACCAAGAGTGCAGAGATTAGTGGATGTAGTAAATTCCTTAAATTGAGAGAGAGCAAAGTTTTAGAAGATAATGTTCATATTTTAGAATGTACCTGATGGTATGCAAATGACTTAAGTGAGTTTGGTCACTTCATATTTATAGCAGTTTTGTAAATTCCGAATTGTGTTATCACCATATTCAGATGAAGAAATGGACCACCCCCTGAACTTCTCCTCCTGTCTCACCACACACACAGAAAGATTAGGTAAGTTGCTCTAAGCCACACCACTAGAACAGGCCAAACTGGGATTTGAATTCAGGGAGTTCACTACACAACCTCTTAACTGCTGCATACAGAAGTTTCTGGAAAGAAAATTGCTACTATGGCTGAAGCTCAGGGAGCTAAGAGAAAATAGTATGAGATATGGCTGGAAAAGTAGTTGGGGGCCGGGCAGTGGAGGACCTTATAGGCTGAGGTGAGAATTGGGCCATATGAAGACTTTGAGAGGTTTTAGCAAGACCATGATGTGAGTTGATTTATTTTTTGAGAAGATTACTCTAGCTGGTGGGCTGAGAACGAATTGTAGCGGGCAGTACTTGAAGCAGGGAGATGTGTTGGGAGGCTGCTTCAGTGGTCCAGGTGAGAGCTGATGGCTCACTGAACTGAAGTGATGGCAGTAAAAGCAGCCATAAATGGGTGTATAAAATAGATAAATAAGGTATAAAATTGCCTGGGTTTGGAGATTGATTAGGGGGAGAAGATAGAGGGCAGGGTCATTGGTATCTGGCTTATGGAACTGGATTGATATTGGCACTGTCTACTGAGTTGGGGCCACAAAAGGAGACTAAGTTGTGGTGGTGCTATGGCTTGCCTGATATGTATTCCCTCCTACCCAAATTCATATGTTGAAATCCTCACCTCCAAAAGTGATGGTATTAGTAGTCGGTGAGGCCTTTGTATATGATACTTTCAAACATTTCCGGGAAACTAAGGAATATAGTGCTGTTGGTTGGTTGCTCCTAATGTTGCTGTCAAAGTAGTGATAAGAAAGGATGATCTCAGGGATTTGAATTCCCTGAGAGCCTGTAGGTTTGCCTTGAGGGAGAGCCTGATCTCTTGCAGGAGGGCTAAAATCAGCCAAATTTTTTCTTCCTTTTTCCTATGACTTTATGCTCTGCTGGCTTAGAGGACTTAGTTCCAGAGAGAGGAATGCTTCCACAGGGAGACACAACAATGATTCCATTGAACTGGAAGTTATAATTGCCACTTGGCTGCTTTGGACTCCTAGTGCCTCTGAATCTACAGGCCAGGAAGAGAATTATGTGCTGACTTGGTGATTGATCCCAACTACCAAGGGAAGATTGGATTACTATTCCACAGTGAAGCTAAGGAAGAGTATGTTTGGATTATAGGAAATCCCTTAAGGGATCTCTTGGTATCACTGTGTCCCATGATTAAGGTCCATGGAAAACTACAACCCAATCCAGGCAGACCTAGTAGTGGCCCAGATTCTCCAAGAGTAAAGGTTTGGGTCATCCAGTCAGGTAAAGAACCACAACTAGCTGAGGTACTTGCTGAAAACAAAGGGGATATAGTATGGATAGTAGAAGAAGATAGTTATAAATACGAGGACTGTAATTGTCATGAATATTTCCTCCTTATTTTGTGTCTATATACATATATTAAGTAAATGTCTTTGATCTCTTTCCTTTCTTGTTCCCTTATCATGTAACTTAAGATATACTGACTTTATATCATAGTATTTAAGTGTTAACTTATGCCATACTATTTTAAGTTTATAGGGTACCAACAACAACAACAACAAAGCAGTAAATGTCACTCAAGGATTTACCTTCTCTTCTGGGGAAGGGGTTAGTGCATTTTTGGCTGTCCACAGGATATTTGCATCATGTTAGGCAGAATTATGACTTTGTTAATGTCTTTGTTTGGAGCTTAAAAATGGTTTAAGCAGGTGCATATAGGGGTTACGTTGACAAGGGGTTGCAATGGTTAATTTTGTGTGCCAACTTGACTGGGCTGAGGTAAAGAATTATTTCTAAGTGTGTCTGTGAAGGTGTTTCTGAAAGAGATTAGCATTTGATTCAGTAAACTGAGTAAAGAGATCTGTTTTCCCCAAGGTGGGTGAGAGCTGTTTGGGGCCTGAATGGATTAAAGAGGCAAGGGAAGGGCAATTCCTCTCTCTCTCTTCTTGAACTGGGTGGGATGTCCATCTTCTCCTGACCTTGAGCTTTGAAGCTTCTGGTTCTCAGGCCTTCAGCCTTGGGCACTTATACCAGTTTACCCATTGTCCTCCCCCACAACCCCAGTTCTTAGGCCTTTGGACTCAGACTGAATTATTTCACCAGCTTTCCTCGTTCTCTAGCTTGAGACAGCAGATTGTAGAACTTCTTGGCCTCCATAACCATGGGAGCCAATTCCTATAATAAACCTCCTCATATATATCTATATATGGTTGACCCTTGAAAAACTTAGGAGTCAGGGGCGCTGACCTCTCATGCAGTCAAAAATCCATGTATAACTTTTGACTCTCAAAAACTTAACTACTGATAGCTTACTGTTGACTGGAAGCCTTACAGATAACATAAACTGTCAATTAATACATATTTTGTATGTTATAGATATACTGAATTCTTACAATAAAGTAAGCTAGAGAAAAGCAGATGTTATTAAGAAAATCACAAGGAAGAGAAAATTCATTTACAATACAGTAGGTATTTGTAAAAGAAAAATCCACGTATAAGTGGACCCGTGCAGTTCAAACCCATGTTGTTCAAGGATCAACTGTATATCCTGTTGGTTCTATTTCTCTGGAAAGCCCTGACTAATACAGGTAGATAAGATGTTGGATTACATCAGGGACATGTTGAGTTCAGGTTCCTCTGAGACGTAAAATTGGCAGTTACAGGTATTTGTCTGGAACTCAGGGCAAGGCCAGAGAGCTAAACCGCACATTTGGGCGCTATATTAGTTTTTAGGCCTGCTGTAACAAATTACTACACACTTGGCTGCTTAAACAACAGAAACGTATTCGCTCATAGTTCTGGAGGCCAG